CTACTACAAAGACGTTGGCTTATTGTTGTCACAATTGCACGTATACTCTGCTATACTTGCACACAACCAGTCTGTCAGTTAGTTACCGTTATGATATGACAGCTTGCCATTGAAACCGTCAGTCAGTCAGTTAGTGGGTCCGTCATTCATTCATTCAATTCATATTCATTGGAATATCATTGTGACATTTTGCATTTAAATTCGTAAAACGACAGACGACGATGACGAGTCATCGGCTACAATATTGGCAAACATGCAGCACTTCGTAGGTTTTTCTTCGTTTGGCCATAGAGAAACAATAGCAACAGTTTATTCCTCTGTTATTTAGTACTCAATTTATATGTATCTCTTCGCTTGACAAAAATGAGGTGAGTGTGGCTAATGTGAGAAGAGAGTTCACAGAGATATAATGAATTAGGCCATGTTTACATCGGAGCCGTCTTAATCAATAATAATAAATTTGACTTTTGTTTTCATTGTAAATTTTATAGCAATGTTCACGTAGTTTTCAAGTACATATTTTTTCCGTGATAAATGACCAGGGAGAAATTTGTCCATGGAAAACATATCTTAAATTATTTTGTGGATAATTGCTACAAAAAAAGTGTATGTAAACACGATATAAGGAAGTTTTCTATGCATGGAACATGGTATGGTAGAAGGATACAGATAGTCGCATCGACACAGCTGTTAAGGCATGGAACTGTCAAACTAATTTTTTTATTGAAAATTTTGAATTAAAAAATTATTGACATTTGCACGAATTTTTGAAAAATGTATATCAATACAATCTTCGATTGACGTCGTATAAAAATACATAAAAAAATCTACTTATTTTTTACAAAACATTTTAAAATGTTTGACATATCAATGCTCCTAAGAGTTTTCTATCATGCATCTATGTATGGAACATGGTAGAAGTATACAGGTAGTCGCATCGACACAGCTGCTGGGACAAAGAACTGTCAAACCAATTTTGAAATCAAAAAAAAAATAAAAATTATCATTAATAATAAATAATAATATTAATTAAAAATTATTCACATTTGTAAAAATTGTTGAAAAAAGCATATCATAAGCACATCCTATTGGCATCGTATAAGAAAACATGTAAATATCTACTTTTTTGAAAAAAAAAAATAAATAAAACATTTTAAAATTTTGTCATATCTATGTTCCCAAACGTTAATGCATCTACCTGTATTTTCCTACCGTGGAACATAACATGGCGCAATAACAAGGTGTCCCTACAAATTTTAAAAACCAAATGTAATGTCAAAATTTGTTTACACCCTGTTGTCTATTTGTTAACTTTTCGTTTTTTGATTTTAATCTAAATAATACATTTTGACATTAAATTTGACAGTTGGGGGACCTTATAAATAGATACGGGACAGGGCTCATATAAGGTCGTCCAAAAAGACAACATTTTACAATATTCTTAGTAGTTTTTGCACCATTGTGATTGGATTTTCTCTGAATATTAAATCACAATTATGTCTTTTGACAGCAAACTTAGATGTCATATGGCCGATTTATAAGATTATCCTTTCTTTGAATTTCAAATCACAATTATGTCTTTTGACGATTTATTGCCGATTTATGTCAGATGACCGATTTATATAAGGTTATCCTTCGAGCGAGTTAGTCTAAAAACAGCTGTTATACTAGCAGATCAAATATCATGCTCAATGTCAAATGTCAAAATTCATTTGTTTGTGTCTGTCATCTGAATGAATTTTCAAGGCATTTATTGTGAATGGAACCACAGTACGAAAGATAAACAAAACTAATTTTGACATTTCGTCTGATTGGTGTAAAAATTTATAAAATTCATATCATAACAATCTCCGATTGGCGTCGTGTAGGAAAACATATTCAAATCTACTTGCACTATTTTAATTTACTGTCAAACCAACTTTGATTGAAAAATTACTCAAATTTGTAAAAATGTTAGAAAAATGACGTCGCATAAGAAAACAGACAAAAATCTGCCTATATTTGGAGAAACATTTAAAAAAAAATTAACATATTAATGTTCTCTTTAATGGGTCTACCTGTGTTATTCTACCATGTAAATATTGAATAAAACGCATGGTAGAAGAATATACGTAGACGCATCGACACAGCTGCTGGGACAATGAACTGTCAAACCAATTTTTTCAAGAATTGTTGAAGAATGTGAATTATAATAACTTACGAACGACGTCGTATAAGAAAACATATAAAAATCTACTTATATTTGAAAAAACATTTAAATTTTTTTGACATATCAATGCTATGCTATGATGCATCTACTTATATTCTTCTCTGCCATGATAAAATGTAAACACATTTGCGTAATTAGGCTACGTTTACACATAAATCTTTCAATAAATGCTTGGCCGTCTACAAAGGGTAACCTGGATAAAGCTTTATATGTAAATTAAGCCTTAGAGACATATAATGTCTTGTCATTTTTTGGAAGATATGAAGAAGAAAAGTTACCCTTCTTTCCAAAAAAAAATCATTCCCCCCTTTTCCCAACCCCTCCTCGTATTTTTTTTTTATTGAAATTTTATAGTAAGATATTTATATACAGAACAACAATTGACTGAATATTTCACTTCAAAAATCATTCGCGTATCTTGCATAGTAAAATTGCATTTTACCCCCCGTCCAACGCACATACACATTCACTAACTATTCACGGGTTTCCGCTCACTTTCGCTTGATGTCACTCTCACTCGATGATGGGTTTTGCGACATTTTTGCAACAAGCGGCTGTGTTTTTTGCTTTGCTTTGTTTTGTTTTTAAATATTCATAGATTGGCAAGGATGTCGTGAAAGGGACCAATGAATGGTGAGACGGATGATGCGAGGAGAGGCAGAAAGAGAAACATTGGCTGGTCACTGGATAGATATATATGTACATACATTGTATGGCAATGAGCGATGCTTGCTAGAGTGGCTGTCAGTGTGTGAGTGCTTGTGAGTGGTTGGGGTAGATTGGTTGGGGTAGATTGGGGTAGATTGAATTAATAGAAGCGACAATGAACAGCATCCTGTCAATTCAATGCATCTGAGCAACATGGTTACCAGCCATTGCTGTTGTCCATGTCTATCACAGTTTCTCCTCTCTCTCTCTCTCTCTCTCTCTCTCTCTCTCTCTCTTTCCTCAATGATGGAGCATGGTTTTGTTTTTATTATTCTCGCTGCTTTGCTTTGCACTTCAATAATAAATGTGAGTGGGGGGAGGGGATTGGGGGCCGTTGGTAGGTAAAAGGCGTCATCTCTTTTAATGTGATTATCTTTCCTTTTTACAATGCATCATGGCGTTGTTCTGTTGCCATTGTTGTTGTTCTTGTCACCGTATAAAACAATTTTCAATTAAGTTTGGTATGCCATTCTCTCAGCTCTCTGCTCTGCTTATTATTATTTGTTTTCAAAGGATAGTTAGTTAGTATAGCTCAAGGTCCTTTTACTGTCTCTGGGTTTCTTTCATTTTTTTGAATTGAATTGAATTGAAAAAAGAAGAAAAAGGACTGGGTTTGAAGGTGGCAAAAAATTAAGACAAGTGTTTATTCAGGGACATGAAATTTCATTTTGGAAGAATTAAAATAATTGAAAATGTCACGACGTTTTTGAGAGAGTTCTAGAGTAAAAAAACCCAAAGAGACTGATAGATTATCAAAGTAGTTTAGTTTAGATTATCAAAGTAACCTTGTACAATCACATGTCAAAACTGCCGCAAATTATGTCATAGATGACATCTAATTGTCAAAATGCGTATTCGTAAATCAGAGATGGGAATGTGTTTTCTTCACAGTTAAATTTGACAAATGGTCTGTTCCAGAACAGCAGGAATGTTAAAGTTTTTACTACGATAACCGATTTTCCCTTTATAACATCGAAAAAAATTGTAAAAATGGTAGATTCTTGCAGGTTCTGGAACAGGGCAACAACAGGAAAATCAAATTATACCATGTAAAATAGCTTCCTATGAGTCTTCAATAACTGAAAGGACTTTCGACGATTTTTTATAGATCGTTAGAACATAGAAAAGGTCTGCTAATGGCAGAGTTCTTCTATTATCTCTCGAGTAGAAATAAAATCTTCTTTTTTGTGTCTCGTACCATCATTCGTTACCGTTAGGATACGGAAGTGGACGGAAGAAAACAGCAACAACAGCAGAAATCGTTCGAAAAGTGAAGAAGCTACTTGATCGAAACCCCCGCGTCGCAGTGGCCGAAAAATGGCTCGTGAGCTAAACACATCGCAATATTCCATTCGGCAAATATTGAAAAATGAGCTCGGCGTAAAGCCATTGAAATTCCAAAAAGTGCAAGAACTTACACCGCAACTAGAGAAAGAAAATAGACTCAAAAGAGCTAAAGAGTTGCTCCGCTTGGCCGAAAGTGGAGCAAAATTCGGGCAGCGTGTGACGGTTTCATTGCCCGGCCATAATTCGTGCTGTTTAGATAAGAAAAGAGTCCAATCTCTCTCTTCGATTGTCAATTCAATTCTGGATCCTGCTCAGAGGATCAATGTTTTTAATACTGAGAATAGAGTCTCATTTCCCTCTCCGATTGTCAATTCAATTCTGGATCCTGCTCGAAGAATAAATGTTTTTTTTAATAACGAGAATAGGGTCCAATCTTCCTCTTCGATTGTCAACTCTATTCTCTATTCGGCTCGACTAGAGCAATGTTTATTGAGAAAGGAATACACGTGCCAAGTCGAACAAATCCAACCTTTTTTTCTAAAATTTGATGCTATTTCCGACACTTTTTGCTTTCATTCAATAAAATTAAAAAAAATATGTAAAAAATATGGCCTTTGTTACAGTTCTCTTTATCTCACCCTGTATACAAGACTTCCAATGTTTCTCCAAGACCTTCTAGAGATAAAAGGCCGTGGAAATCTTATGATTTTGTAAAATTCATTCCATAAAAAAATGTAATATCTAAATTTGTTATTAAATATATAAATTTAATTATTTTGTTGTCTGATTATCTTACCTGCTGTAACAGTTGTTGCAGTTTAGCTTCTTCCTCCGTTTTATGCATTGGATCCATAAAATACAATTCCTCTGTTGAGCTGCGTAATTCCAAAGCTCCTTCCTCGCGAAAACCCATATCCAGTGATTCCTGTAGGGTGCCAGTGCCCACCTTGTTATGATTAGTTTTTGATTTTTTGGTTTGGTTTGTTTTGTTTTTGGTTTTTTGTGTTCAATATTTTTTTTTTTTTAATTTTTGTTAATAACAATTTTGTTTCGATTTTCGTTCATACATAAAGAAATTAACAACAACATCAATTTAGAAATAAAGCAAAATTGGGATCATTTTTTTTTAATTAAACCAAGAAAAAATTAAATTAAATATGGTGTGAAAAATTAAAATTATGTGAATTGAAACAACAACAATATAAAATTTATCCAATGAATCCGATTTAATCGTAACAACAATTGTTCAAAACAACCAATCGAAAAGACACACGACAAAAAAATAGAAGCAAAAAAATATGGAAAAAATATTACAATTAATAAATGTAAGCACATTTTGCATTAGTTATGAGTAGCAGTATACAGTGGATGCCAAGAAAAGGTACGAAATTTTCGTAAAAATAATTTTTATATTTACAAAAAAAAGTGACTAAGTTTCTTTATTACAGAAATTCAAAACAAAACAAAAATCGAAATATTTTAATTTTACTTTTGACGGCCACTGTATACTTAACATATGTAGTAAATATGTAGTAAAATAAAATTAATACACAATTTATTAACTCAAAAGAAAATCCATCAATAATAACCATTAATCATCTACTATGAGACACTAAACAAAAATGACATCAAAATGAGTAGCTGGGTGCATTAATTGTCACGTTCTTTATGGAAATATATACACACATGTAAATACTTAAGCCCTATTTACACCGGCTATGTTTTCATAAGACGCATTATATTATTTAATCCATTGATTATGCCTCAAATAAATGACGAATCTTCATGAAAAGCTTAATGATTTGATTTCGGTATTATAGTAGGTTTAGAGGCTGATCTATCCATTGGCTCATTCCGTAAGACCAGCTGATTTCGGCAGCAATGTCAAAAAGAATGCCAATTGTAAATTAAAGGTATGAAAACGTAAACAAAAACTTTGACATTATGATGGAGTTCCGATCTCAATCGTAGTTCTTTGTTGTGATTTACATGAACTGGAGTCCAGTCGTGTGGATTTAAACTGTCAAATTAAATCTACTCTTTAAACCAGTGTAATTTATTCGAAGAATATAGGTAGACGCTTCGACACAGCTGCTGTCACAATGAACTGTCAAACTAATTTTTGAATGAAAAATCACTCAAATTTGTAAAAATTGTTAAAAAAAAATGCATATTATAACCACCTCCGATTGGCGTCGTGTAGGAGACATATATAAATATACTTATTTTTAAAAAAATGTGACATACCAATGTTCCCTAAGCGTTGATGCATCTACCTGTATTCTTCTACCATGACATTTGAAATCCACTGGATTTATTATGTGTTTACAATGTTTACTTAGGCTTTGTTTTTAAATATCCTCATGCTTTCAACCATGGCAAATATATAAGTTGCCCCTGACAAGCCTGCTAACTACCAAATGTAATGTCAAAATACATTATTATGATTGAAATCATAGAACAAAAGAATAACAAATGCCCAGGAAAATGTGAAAAAATTGAAATTTCATTTGGTTTTTAAAATTAGCAGGAACACCTGATCCAAGCCCTACATAAGGTCAGCCAAGAAGACCTCTATTGAAAACATTTTGACAATAAACTTAATAGTTTTTGCACAATTGTGATTTGACTTCTTTTGAATTTCAAATCACAATGTGTCTTTTGACATCAAACTTAGTTGTCAGATGGGCTTACTGGCCTACCTTATATACGCCATATGCTGATCATTTGATTTGATGTTATTGTTCAATGCAATTATTCAGCTCAAAGTAGCTAATATTGGTCAGTGTTACCCTTTTTAATCAAAATTTTATGTTGTTTTCTTTTAGGTTGAGAATGCATAAAGGAGCGTTGAGTCAAAATCGAACTAAGTCAACCAAAATCTCCTTTGTTCTTCTTCGAAGAAGTCAGCCGATGATTTAAGCCATCGAAAAAAGTATTTTGTGAACTCTCACCTTTATATCTGTGTCGAGTTAAATAAATTCGACCTCACGTGTGCGATTCTTTAACTCATTTTTTGAGTTATCGACAAAAATCGATAAAGTCAAAATACCCATAATTTCGCCAATTAACGAAGATTTTCGACAATCTGTCCGAATCTGTGAAGTTGAGAATACTTAAAACGCCTTTTTTTGGAATCGGTTGTTGATTACGCCGTCACGACGAGTTTGGTACGATACCCATAGTATTTATGTACCATTGCTGTGTAGTCGATTGTTAGTTATCGATAATTATTACGAGTTCCTTGTTGTTTCCAAGTACGTAAAGAGCTTTTTTTAATGGCTTAAAACATGGGACAATGAATTGTAAAACAAATTTTGAAATTAAAAATTGACATTTTTGAATGAAAATTTATTCAAATTTGTAAAAATTTTTGAAAAAACCTCCGATAGACGTCGTATAAGAAAACATATAAAAATGTATTTATATTTGAAAAAACATTTGTAAAATTTTGACATATCAATGTTCCCAAGCGTTGATGCGTTTACCTGTATTCTTCTACGCTGAGTGTGGATCAGCTGTGATAAATTAATAGCGCATTTACATAAAAAATTTAAACTTCATAATTGATCAATCACAGTTAGACGCATCGACACAGCTGCTGGGACAGTGAACTGTCAAACCAATTTTGGAATTGAAAATGTTGAATGAAAAATTATTTAAATTTGTAAAACTTGTTGAAAAACGCGAATTATAATAACCTTCGATTGACATCGTATAAGAAAACGTATAAAAATCTACTTATATTTGAAAGAACAATTACATTTTTTTGGCATATCACTGTTCCCAAGCGTTGATGCTTCTAACTGTATTTTTCTATCATGGATTTTTTTCTATATTTAAATTCATTGTGATTGATCAATAATTAAGTTTAAACCGGGTATAAATATTGTATGTAAACGTGCTTGAAGGACCAATTTAATTTGGTACCCGTAAAAATGAACAAGACAGTATGTACTTGGAGTGGATATGGCCTTGAGAGTTTCTTTAAAGATTCAATCTCCATATATCGTGCTGGAAAGCCTAGTTATATGAGTAGTGTGGGTTAATCAAATTTCAAGATAACCCTGAGTCTTGTAAGTTTACAAAATAATTCTTTATCCATTGATTTTCATATCTCCTGTATTAATCTCTCTCTTTTGTGGCAACATTTCAAAACTATTCTAGTTTGCATAAAATATTAAATATTTTTTTTTCTTTCCTTCCATATTTTTATCACCTGAGGTGGAAAAAAGCAACATTTTCTTGTCATCATTCTTCTTTGTCCCTTTTTTCTCTATGGTTTCTTTGTGTTGGACAGACACAGGGTGACACACACACACACGCGAGCGGTTAGTGGTCTATAAACATTTAAAACTGTGACTTAATCACGTTTCTTTGGCAGAATGTTAAATCTATTGTGTGCGATTTGATGATGGTGGGGAAAACATTTTCTTCACCTACAACGACCCTATTTCTAACGAAAGACTGACGTCATTGTTGCTGTGGGGTTTTGATAGTTTCTTTGAATGTTTTTTTTCTGCACCTATCCCACCATCCATTAAATTTATGTAGTTCAAATCAATAACGAAAGTATATTAATAATGTAATTTGCTGAGAATAATGGTTGTCGGAGACATTAATGAGGGGCTAGTGAAAGGACATTTGAGTGGGAGGAGGAAGGTTCTGGAACAGAGCAAAGAATATATTATTTTGAAAATGTGCCATTATAAAAATATTGAATCGATTTGTTATTTCCAAGTGTTGGAGGGAGTTAATAGTTTTACGGACAAATTCCAAAGTCCGATATTTAAAAATTAAGGTGGGAATACATAAAGCGCCTATGTGGCTCGTCATCGGCTGGCTTCTTCGTAGAGCAATAAAGGAATAAAGGAGTTTTAGGTTGACTTAGTTTGATTTTGGCTTCAGGCTTTTTTGTTTATTTCCGAAGAAGCCAGCCCTAAAACCAGCCAAATAAACGCTTCTTGTATCCCCACCTTAACTTTTAAATATCGGTCTTTAGAATTTGTCCGTAAAACTATAAATTCCCTCCAGCACTTGGACATAACAAGTCGATTCAACATTTATATATTTGTTAATGTAATTGAACATTTTCAAAATTATATATTCTTTGCACTGTTCCAGAAACTTCAAATATCTACTAGTTTTGCCATTTGTTTTAAAAATCGGTTATCGTAGTAAAAAGTTCTGAAAAATACCACTTGCACACATTAGTGAAGTTTTTCAATTTATTTTATTTCTGATGTCACAGAAGTATGGAAAACCCTGCTTACATTTCAAGGGCCTAATATAATGTTTACACTTGAACTTTTTACCGAATTAACGTTGTTTATTTTTTTTACCGAGTACAATGTAAACATACTATAAAAGCTAATTTTGCATAAAAACCAAAATTATTGCAATGAAATGTACCTCCATAAAAGTGCGGATAAACCCAAAACGACTCTTCACCCTAATATGTCCCCGTTTCTATTCCTTCCTTCTCTTCCACTAACTGCCTTTGAAATATTCACATTTTATGTCCAACATGTCTGTCCCGTCTCTCTCTCTCTTTCTTTTGTATTTGACATGATTTATGCGTTTGTAAATCAATTCTTCCGCACTTTTACTTTTTTAATGTAATGCTTTTGAATTCCCCCCGATCCCTTCCTGCTCACCCTTCCATTTTTTTTTTTGCAAAGATTCTTTGATTTGTCATTTCCAACACATTTTAACCCAGTTTGTGATAAAAAGCGAGAGAAAAAAAGAAAACACAACAACAAAATGTTAAAAGAAGAAGAACAAGATGAAGCATAACGTCAGTATTAAACTGCTTAGCATTAACACACCTACAAATTTGTATTTTATTTTATTGCTGAAACTTCTCCTACCCTTCCCCGCACACACACACACACACACAATGACAGAGTCAGAAGAGGACGACGACGACGATGATATTAAGACCAAAGTTGGTCAAACCCACCAACCGAGAAACGAACGAACGAATGAACCCAGCAACTATCCAACCATCCATTCTAGTGTTTACATAAGTTATGGTTGAAGGACTTAGTTGAAAGAATAGATTTGACGAAACAGGGATGTCAGTGAGTCAGCGGGGGAGGTGGGTTCAATAGTTGGCCTAAATCAAAAAAGTTATTTAGTTGCTAAACGAAAAGGAAAATTTAAAATGAAACTAAATGTGGAAAGGCCATGAGACCGAAAAAAAGAGCAGAATTTAAAGGCGCTTAAAGAGTGCCATAAACAAATTTAGTAACGTTAATAAAATTATAGCATGTTCACATCGATGAGAATATATTTGAGGTGTATTCAATGGATTTGACAATTTAAATCTAATCGATTTCCTTAAATCCAATACAGTGTAAACGTTTTATTATTGTGAAATAAATCAAACCTTAAAATACAACACTGTATGGCTGAACGAAATGTAAAACTACAACACTTTTGTCAGATACAAGTGGCAACACTGTTATATTTCCAAGGTCAATTTTTTTCAATATTTCTTTAAAACTAAATAGATCTTTATAGACTTTTCTATATTAATTTCCAAAATTAATTTATCCCAGCAGCTGTGTCGATGCGACTACATGTATTCTTCTTCCATGCTGCAAAACCCTAATGGGTGAAACTGTAAATACAACACTGCTGTCAGCTACAAGGGGCAACTCTGTTGTATTTTCAAGGAGAAGTCACGAACTAAGCTTTGATCTGCTTAAGTTTTAAGAGGGAAGGACTAAGATTTACCCGAAAAAGAAAGAACATCTCATGACATTTTGTGCTTCGCTAGGTTTGAATTGAAGATACTCTAAAGGTGAGAATGCATAAAACGCTTTTTTACTGACTTATGTATTTTCACCTTAAGGCTGGAAATACATAAAGAGCATATTTTGCTGGCTCAAGTCATCGGCTGGCTTCTTCGTAGATGAACCAAGGAGTTTTAGGTTGACTTAGTTCGATTTTGGCCCTAGACTCCTTTGTTCATTTCCGAAGAAGCCAGCCTATGACTTAAGCCAGTCAGTTAAGCGCTTTATGTATTTCCACTCTAAGTCCTTCGAAGCCACATTTTTAGATAGGAAATACTTCTTTTTATAAAGGATGTCTTCCAAAAATATCTCATCGGGATTCTACCTATAATGTAATCGCTATGGAACTTTCAGGAGGGATTCCATGCAAATAAGATCTTTAAGAGAAAGTCCTATGTCCATGGAAGAAATTTAAGAGATATCCTCTCCATAGGAGAGTTTCAGGAAAATTTTCTCTAAAACTGAGCTTTGTGTGGTATATTCTCTATTATTTTGGAGAACTTCTCACACTTAGATTTTCTCTACCGAGAAGGAATTCAGAATATCTCTCCTCCATAGAAGAAATTCAAGAGAACTCCCCTTCATAGGAGAGTTTCAGGAAATTTTCTCTAAAACTGAGCTTTGTGTGGTATATTCTCTATTCTTTTGAAGAACTTCTCTCAAGGAGGTCTTCTCGGTTGAGCAAAAAATCAGAATATCTTATCTCCAGATAGGGGACAGTCTTTTCATACAAGACTCCCAGGAGATATCGCCTCTATAATCGAGCTTCAGGAGGTTTTCTATCTATTTGACACTTTTAGAAACTCTCCTATCTAAGGAAGATTTTCAGAAATAATTCTATTTATAGAAGATACTCAGTAGTTCATTCCTTTAGAGAAAAATTTCAGGATTTCTTCCACCTATAAAACGCCTTTAAGAGGTCTTCCTACAGATATATGGAGGTCTTCCCACAGATATATTAAGAGGCTTAAGGTAAAAATACATAGAATGCTTTTTTGACTGGCTTAGAGGTGAGAACACATATAAAGCTCTTTTGACTGACTTAAGTCATCGGCTGGCTTCTTCGTAGAGGAACAAAGGAGTCTTAAGGCGCAAGTGCATAAAAAGCTTGAAGTCATTGCTAGGCATATTAATGTCAAATTGTAATGGAAAACGACGGCTGGATTTTAGTGCGGCTCTGTAATTCCTTTATGAAATGTCACAAAATATACCTAGCCATGACATCAAGCTTTTTATGTACTTACAACCTTAGTTTGAATCGACCGATGTTGGTCTTATGCTCTTTTGTTCTCTTCCGAAGAAGCCGGTCAATTCCTTAAGCCAGTCAAAAAATCCTTTCATGTAGGCTCACCTTTAAGTCATTGGCTGGCTCATTCGTAAAAGAACTAAGCCAGTCAAAAATGCGTCTTATGTATATGAGGCAGTCAAAAAAGTGTTTTATGTATTCTCACCTTTATATGTATATAAGAACCTCCGTATTCTGAAGTTATCTTCTCTACAGAAGACCTCTAGTCTTTCAACTATAGGTGGCATTTACGAAGATTTTAATGTGAAGGAAGTCTTTGGAAGGTATTCGAACTATAGATAATCTTGAAGAGGACTTCGGACTATATAGGATGATCAGGAGTAATATTCTGTCTATATAAGCTTAATAGACTCTCTACACTTGTGCAATCTCTCTGTCTGTAAACGCCTTCCCTTGAATTGAATTGTAAACCCTTCGTTGTTATTTACATAATTTTTATTGTTTACGTCTCCCTCTCCAAATGTCTCAAAATCCCATCAAATATAATACAGAGTTGAAATCACATTTATAAAATCACAAAAATAACAACAACAACAATATCGGAATCCGCGTTTAAGTGAAATCCTTTAAAACCCTACATTCAAGGGATTTAAAAAAGCGCCATTAAAGCCAGCAGTCTTTTGAAAAAGTTGAAATAAAAACATAAACAAAGCAAGGATACCAAATACAGTGGAGCCTCTCCCAACTGGCAGTGGCCAAGCTTCCCAAAATTTTGGGAAGACACAAGTGTTTTCTTGTCTGGTGAGATTGATTTGTTTTTACCAAAAAAAACACAATCGGTTTCCTCTCCCATGCCATATTTTTTCTTGGTTTTTCTCCTGAGAGGATCCACTGCATTAAAGGTTTACCTCTACGGGACATTTACTAATCTACTAACACACAGTGACAGTTACACCAAAAGTCAACTAAACCAAAACAATAACAAACAAAAAACAAACTCTTGAAAGTGGCTTATCTTTCAAGAGCTGAGTGAGAGTGTTTTTTTTTTCTTCTGTTTCTCTCTCTCTCTCTCTCTATCTATGTCTAACGGTTTATCTAAGTGGATTTGCTTTCAATAATAAATCACCTGTTCAAAGACATTTTCAGGACTACTATCGCGACTATCTTCCTCGTGATGTGACGATGATGAGGCACGACTCAATTCAATTCGCGGTGTTGTTGGGTTCAGTGTATTTGTGGCTGGGTTGTTCGACGCTTTGCTTGTGGCTGTAGTGGTGGTCGTGGTGGTGGCCGATCTTGTGGGTGGTGCTGGTGGTATTTTTGTCCTATTGCCATTGCCGCCGCCGCCACCGCCGCCTTTAGCCATTGTTGTTGTGGTTAGGGGGCCGTCGACTGGTGTGGCTGCTGTTGTTGTCATTTTAATGGATGTTGCCGTTGCCGTGGCCATTGCTGTTGTCGTTTGCTTCGTTGTTATGGACTGTTTACATGTTGTTCCGCCATCATTTATATCCATCTGCAATGTAATTAAATCAGAAACATTAATTTGTTGTTGTTGTTCTCGTTCATGGGACATTGTTAGTCTAATAAGGATTTTTATTGATGTCAACGTATCACAAAAAATGAGATAATAAAACAAAGAGGACATGGGAGGGGGAGGTTAAAGGCAATTCATTGTAAATCCGACAAAAAAATGTAAACAATTTTTTTGTTTTTGTGTAAAGAGAATTCATTTTTTTTTTTCATTGGCAAAGGATCCGGTTTAGCGCAGAAATTCCATTGAAAATAATGGCTAATTTTTTGCTGTTGACACCTAACGGGTACATTAACCTTTTCTGTAGGGTTTTTTTTTTCTCTCACTCCTGCTAATTACCCCTCTTGCCAACAACTAACCACAGAGAAAAAAACAACATGTCATATCCGAAATATCCTGCAGACATTTTGGAAAACATGAAACCTGTCCATCAAACAACCACGAAAGCGAACCAAAAAAAATGAAAACAATAACAACAACAACCGAAAACCCCCTAACTGAAGTGGTCTTTGTCAGACGTCAAAAGGTATTTTCACATCCATTGGCATTCATTTCGACAGGACTCTGACATGGCTGGAATTAAATACACGAAACACATTTATCGTATCCAGCCACACTGACAGGCTAATGAATCCGACAAGAAGAATTGCGGTAGTAGTGGTGGTGTTGGAAAGTTTTTTTTTGTTCTTTCTGTTGCAACACTTTAGGGATTTTGAGAGGGGCAAAGGAGGTATGGCATGAAAAATATGTACACAAGATTTTTTAATAACTATTTTCAAAGGGTCTTAGAAGGCTACTCAATTGGTAGGGGCGCAATACCAGGGATAAAGATTTAATGCATTTTGAATTTTCTAAAAAAAAAACTCTGAAGATTTTTGTTGGATTTGAATATTTGAAGACTTGTTAGTTTTCTGATGATATTTTTACTATTTTTAAACAATTTTGATTCTTTCGAAGACTATATTTCAAATAAAATACCTTGAGCTCGGCTGATATGGAGCGCCATCTGTTGATATTTCAATTATAGATATCAGGTAGACAATGTCAAAGGTGAGAAAACATAATAAGCTCTTTTGTCCGGCTTAAGTCATCGGCTGACTTCTTCGTAGCGAAACAAAGGAGTTTTAGGTTGACTTAGATCGATTTTGGCCCACCGCTCCTTTGTTCTTTTCCGAAGAAGCCAGACGATGATTTAAGCCAGCCAAAAAGCGTTTTATGCATTATCACCTTAAGAGCATATTTTCAGAAAGTAAAGTAAAACTGTGTTATAATAGCAGGTCTAACCTATCTGTCCGTATATAGGTATATCAAGAGTGATAAACGATAATCGGGTTCATTTTCGAGAGAGTCACAAACTAATGCAAGATGAGGTGAAGTTTCTTGATTTTTTAGAAGCCTAAAATGTAGAACGCCATCTACACTTCAAGCTGAGAGCTGACATTTAGATGGTCAATTCTACTATTAATTATACGTTAAGTAAGTGACGTATCTTCGTAAAACGCCTAATTTAGGGGTCGGTGTAAATAATGTTTAACCCTTAACATTGAACGCCATCTATACTTCAAGATGTGGCATAGAATTTCCACAAATTCTAAAAAACAAATGCAACTTCAACGGACATCAAAACATAGCGCGTTCGACCTGCTGGTATGGGTCCGATCAAAGATCTGCGGTCAAACCAGGGTGCTAAAATTCAGCTTGAGGGGGTATAAAAAAGCTCAATTACACGCTATGTTAGAGTCATATGTAATATGATTTTTTTTTTTCACATTTTATAATTTTTATAGCATACTTTGAGGAGCTCCCAACTATTTTGTACTAGACCTCCGAAAAAACTTTCTCGAATTCGAGAAAAATCTTAAACTTGCCTCACTCGAGTAAAGGCTGAAATTAAAATATGGGAGTAGCATAAAAAGCAGCTAAGTTCGACCGAGCCAAACTTTTAATACCCTTCAACACTTGGAAAGAACTGGAAAATTAAAAAAAAAATCGAAAACTACCACTTATATGAAAACCGTTATATGGAGACTATACGAAGACGTGGACCTGCATACAAATTTTTTTCTGATAGATTGCAGTACCCATTACGAACTTTAAATACGAGATTTGAAACAATTCCGGTGAATAATGTCGCAAAAATCATGAAAATACCGAATATCGTTATTCCACGGCTATACGAAGACCTGGACCTGCATACGAAATAGGTTGTGGTACCCTTCAGGATCTTCCAATACGAAATTTGAAACGATTCCGGAGAATAATGTAGCTGAAATCATCAAAATACCGAATATCGGGAGGTACCATTATATGCCGCAAAAACCGTGAAAAAAAAAACCGAATATCGGGAGGTACCGTTATATAGGGGCTATATGAAAACGTGGACCTGCATACGATTTTTTTTGCGATAAGATCTTCCAATACGAAATTTGAAATAATTCCGGTAAAAACTGTCGCTAAAATTATGAAAATACCGAATATCGGGAGGACCGTGGAGTAGGACGTGGACCGACATAGTCCATTTACGAACTTATCGGAAAAAAATATGCATGTATACAAAATTTTCGTTCGAAAGATGGCAGACAGACACACAAACAGACGGGCGGACATCTAAGCTAATTTGTCTTAGAATTTTACGCTGATCCAAAATATATGCACTTTGTAGGGTCTATCATGAATATTTCGAGAAGTTACAAACGGGATGACAAAGCTTCCACTCTTCGCAAGTCCCGCTCGCGAGCCTGTTTCACTACCTACTTCTGAGGTGCAGGAAAAGTACAATATATTGTTCAATAGTGGAAGCTGTACCAAATTTTCGAACTTTGGCTGTCTGCAAAAACAAATAACTCTTAGCGACCCTTTTAATAAAAGTTTGTCAAATGTCGAACGATTCGGTCATGAATAAAGTAACTTAATATTTAATACTTAAATCAGGTTCTTTGTATTTCCTTCGCAGAATATCTGGCTTCAGAATGAGGTAGCCATGAACATCCACAATAATCTTGATGAAATGCACTACTCAATTTCTAAACAGACTACTTTTTCCATTCCTTTCTCTAATTTTATGCAGTGCTAATCCCATTTAATCCCCTTTCGTGTCCCAAACCCCCATTCTAAAGTGCCAACAATATTCCAAGAAAACCAATTGATTCCTCATTAAAACAAAACTGCACTGGATCACCACACGTCTTCCACACAATTACCTTGATATTTATTACGGATTATCCAAGAAGAAGAACAACAAAAACCTAACAACTCATTAAACACAAACATAGTTCACCAAAGGGGTTAAGAACTTAATAAATGGAGAACAGAATGCTGAGAACAAGAGCAGAAGCAGCAGCACACGAAACAGCAGGATATCTTGATATTAAAAGAAAACTTTAATGAGGAGCCATTAAGGCAGCCACAGGTATTGATCCGTTTAATTAGAGCAGAGATGCCCTGGCACAATTACGTACAGCTTCCAATAACAAATTACTTGAGCAAGTCATAGATTAAAGCAATATATTCTGCCAATGCAGCGAAGGAGAGACAGAGGGAAGGAAATCGTAATTATAGATATCGATTACGACTTTCCAAAACCGAAATGAAATTATTTTCAATTAATATTTATGTGGTTAAATATACAAGTCAATGAGCATGTGTTTCTAACTTGATTCGTAGAGGATGGCAACACCAAAAGAGAATAAGAGAGATGGAGAGAGAGCGAGTGAGAGACAAGGGGAAAATCACGTAACATCAAGAGAATTTGTTGAATTTACATTTGGCAAATGCAAATAATGTCAAATCCCAAGTGGCACATATACACATACATACATATCTATATATTTGAAAATATTATATACATATATACAATATTTAGAATATTTACTTATGCATTCTTATTGTGTGTGTGTGTGTATGTTATGAGTGTACATTGCTGTTGGTATTCTTAAAAGAAGCCAAAGTGTATGCCAACTGTCTGTGGATTTTTTTTTTTGGTATAAATATAAATTAATGTATTTATATGACATTTATAACATATCCCCATTTACATTATGAATATTTTCCCTAAGAATACTTGTTCATATACGAAAATACACTATACAAAAAATATATATGTAAAGCTCTAAGTGCAGACTTGGTATTTTTTGGGGAGGATCATTTTGAAATCTTCATTCAATATTCATAATTTATTAGGCAAAAACGCTCATGCTGAATATTTTAAATAAGAAATAACCGAAAAATACAATCCTTAGGGTAAGTTTACACACCATAAGAGAAACATATGTAAAAAAAGTTCTTCGCATTTAGTTTCAGCATTGTTACAGCATACTTTTCGGGCGCTCCCAACAATTGTTTAACTATATTAAGACTATATACCATACAATCTATATATTTTACCACAAAAAGTACTGTATTATACACGTAAGCATTATTTATACGTACTACTTCTTAGTTTAAAAATGGTTGGGAATCGGGAATGTTAAACAGATACAAAGTTGAAATCCACGCAGTGAAGGTACCTTATAGCACCACCTTACAGCAAAGCTGAGGAAAATTATAAGAATAATTTTTTTTAGAGAAATTTAAAATGTCCTTTTTTATTACATTTTCCAATATATTTTCACTTTCTATATCCTCCACCATAGTATGGAGGGTATATTATGTTTGTCATTCCGCCTCAAAATATAAATTTTAGATCTCACAAAGTATATATATTCTTGATCAGCATAAAATTCTATGTCGATTTAGTGATGTCCGTCTGCCTGTTGTCAGGCAAAAATTTTGCACACATGTTTATTTTGCAAGTTCGGAAATGGGCCATGTAGATCCACGTTTTCATATAGCCCTCATATAACGGTACCTCCCGATATTCGTTATTTTGATAATTTTAGTGACGTTAATCTCCGGAATTGTTTGAAATTTGGCATTTGAAGTTCGTAATGGATACTACAGCCTAAAGGGCTAAGTACATAAGAAGCTTGAAGTCATGACTAGGC